AGCCGTGGCTATGTTACAAATACTACACTTGCGCCAATTCGCAAATATTATTGATGAGCAGCTTTCGCAAAAAGGCAAATCCTTGAGAGAATTTAGAGCTTTAAAAGAGAAGTGAATAGAGCTTTAAACATTCATTTCACATATTATATTACGTTCAAATTGGCCCCATTTAACTTGTTAAATGAAAAAGAGCTTTTTGGAAAACACAACCGTCCACATTGAACATTTGGAGTTAACTTTGACGGTTGTTTGATTACCAATAAAAATTCGAAAAAAATATTCAAAATCAAGTTTTCGTGTTCCAATTTGTTATGTGCGAATGTCTGCTTCATGATATTAACGCATACGGATAACTTAGAGACTTCAAAATGTTTAGTTCGTATGCACTATTTATCTCTGCGTTCGATGAGACCTCTTGGGAAATAACTAATTACCGCCTTGGCCTCTTTTTTGGCGGGCAGACATGCATACAATTTTGATATTTTTTTTGTAAATTTTTAATTTTTAATATTCTTCAAAATATAAATTTTTTGAACGTTGGCGTGTCAAATGAAAGCTTTTGGGTCTTTCTGATTGGTCGGAGCAGAAAGCTTTCTGATACAACTCTGCGTTGAACTGGTTTTCAAACGAGTTAAATGATTTAACTGGTTCAATTTTGCAACAACAATTGCATGCGATTTAACTGGTTTATGAACATGTTTTGTTCATTTAACTGGTTCAAGCCCATTTAAGATGTTTAGCTCGTCAATTTGAACGTAGTATTAGTTTCAAAAACATTCGTATTCGTTTCAGGAAGTTAATATTTTTCTTTTTTTAATTTAGGAATTTCGATAATGCTATAATTAATCGCTAGAAGAAACCATTTATTTTTATAAGGGGGAGGGGGTTGAGTATGGTAAGAAGATAACTTGTGTCAAAACCAAGCTAATTGGACAATGTTTTTGAGTACTACTTAAACACATATACTCATCATTTGAACCAGGGTTGTTGCGAATATTCGCATTCGCATTGAGTCAAACCACGCCAACTGTGTCAATGATTTCCATTGATTTTCTGGAAAGTGAAGACAATTGTGGGAATCTGTAGATAATTATAGAACAAAAATACACCTTGGACGGTTTTTCGAAATTGCACTTCGTTTTTGTTTTTTTGGTATTATAAGAATTGTTGGAGTATCAAAGTAGTTTAACTAGAATTAATGTAAAAATGTGTAACTTCAGATACAACTCTGTTATTATCTTGTATTCAATAACTCTTGCCTTTCCTCTCTTGTATGAAAAGCTAATGTCATTTCTCAGTTCTTGATTTCGTCCGAACGAATATAAACTCTGTTCATAATTCACATTAAATAAAGAAACTCTTTCTAATTGAACTCCTAAGAGCTCGGTTGCTTTATCAGGTTATGGGACCAGAGCCACATACCTGCGCTAAGGAAATATTCGTACGGAAAGTGTGTAAAAAAAAAGGGAAAAACGAAAAGTTTTTCGATAACGTGTGCGCTAGTCTTGCCGGTGTCGCGTGCGAGAAAGTAATTTTCAAATCGTCCAATCGATGTCGAGTGTGCGTATCGAGCCGCTAAACGCGGACAATTATGATACGTGGAAAATGCAAATGCGCGCGATCCTAATAAAGGGTGATCTATGGCCGTACGCCGAAGGTAGCATAGCGTGTCCCACGGATGCTGCAGAGGCAGCTGCGTGGCGAGCGAATGACCAGAAGGCATGTGCAGACATTATGCTTGCTATGAGTCCGTCCGAATTGGGACTAGTGGCTGAATGCGAAAGTGCACGGAAAATGTGGTCAAAGCTCGAGACGACATATCAATCTAAGGGGCCCGCTCGCAAAGCAACATTATTAAAACGAGTTGCCCTTGCCCGCATGAGAGATGGTGATAGTGTACGAAAACACCTAAATGATTTTTTCGATGCCGTCGCGAAATTGAAAGACATCAAGGTGGTGATCGGTGATGAACTGTTAGCTATCTTACTATTATACAATTTACCGGACTTTTTCGAGACTTTTCGGTGTGCTCTAGAGACACGAGATGACTTGCCAAAACCAGAAGTTTTACGTGTTAAAATTCTAGAAGAAACGGAATCGCGAAAAGTGAAAGAACGGAAAACGATGCGCTTTATGTTAAAAAGCTACAAAAACAAAATGGTGCTCACAAAAATGGGGATCGTCACCCCGGCGCGAAACGAGGTGAATCGAAACGTATAATTTGTTACCGATGCGGAGAGCGCGGACACTATGCGAAAATCTGTAAGGCAAAGGTAGAGCATTGCAAACAAGGTGTGAAGAAGGGCGATGATAAATTCGGTGAAACGCAGAGTGCATCGTTAAATGTCACTGAATCAGTGTTCTTGTGCCCTGGTGGAAATAAAAAGTGGTGCCTAGACAGTGGTTGCACTTCACATATGAGTGCAGATAAAAACAATTTTAAGGAATTATCCGCAATGAACCAAGTGCTTAATTTAGCAAACAACAATTCCACAAAAATAGCAGGAATAGGTAGCGTAAAAGTTGTTGTGAACGAAAATGGGTGTGAGAAGGACATAACACTTAGTGATGTACTTTACGTGTCCGATTTTCGTACGAACTTGCTATCGGTATCCAAAATCACGGACAAAGGCTATGAAGTGCATTTTCGAAAAAATGACGCGGTGGTGATTGATAAAAACGAAAATGTACTTTTTACCGCGGAAAGAAACGGGAACTTGTATTTTATTAAAAATCGAGGTGAGAATGCGTTCTCGGTCCAACCAAGGAACGACATCGACTTATGGCACTATCGAATGGGTCACTTGAACGAGCGTGACTTAAAAGACATGGCAAAGAACAAAGCGGTTTATGGGCTTGAGATAAAATCAAAGCAAAATCTATCGGTGTGCGAGGTGTGTTTGAGCGAAAAACAAACACGCGCGGCTTTTCCTAAAGGAAATCACAATCGCACCAGTGGTGTACTGGCGCTGCCCATCCAAGTCGGGAGCAAAATACTTTGTCACTTTTATTGATGAACATTCACGGTGGTGCGAAGTGCATTTTATTAAGAACAAATCGGAAGTGCTCGAAGCATTTAAGAAATACAAGGCTGCGGCCGAGACATTTACCGGCAAATAAAAGCGCTGCAATCAGACAACGGGCGAGAATATTGCAGTCGGGAGTTTGACGATTTTCTCCAAAAGTACGGAATAAGGCGCCGTTTGTCTTCGCCATATACACCACAACAAAATGGCATGGCCGAGCGCAAAAACCGAACACTCATCGAAATGGCCAGATGTATGATGAATCAAGCGGGCGTGCCTCCCTCCTTTTGGGCTGAGGCGATCAATACTTCGTGTTATCTACGAAATCGCTGCATAACAAAATCGACGGGAGAGGTGCCATATAAGCTGTGGTCAAATAAAACTCCAACAGTGACTCACTTAAGAATTTTCGGTTCAAAAGTATAAGTGTTAAACAAGGACAAATCGAAAGACAAAATGCAGTCTCGTTCCGTGCCATGCGTAATGGTGGGTTACTCGTCCGAATCGAAGGCTTATCGGTTGTGGTCGAAAGAAAAACGAAGCATAATAATCAGTCGAGACGTTAAATTCTTAAATGAACCCGGTTTCGATAACGAGTACGAGGAAATATGCACATTTGAAGAAGAAAATGAGCTGGAAATACCAATGCACACAAACAATCAACCAGTCGTAATTGAAAAAGATGTTGAAAAGGCGAGTGAAGATGAAATGTCGGAGAAACGGATGAAACGTGGTAGAGGCAGACCAAGGCTGCTACGTGGCCAACGTGGAAGGCCAAAAAAGATTTTTTCGCAAGCAGATGATCCAACAGATGAGCAAGCGGATGACACCTCGCCGAGTGGCAAAGACGGCGGAGCGAATTCTGAAGAAGAAGAAGACGACATATTTGAAGAATGTGAAATGGCGTATCTTGTGGCTGACGCAGGTCCACTAACATGGCGTGAAGCAGAAGCTGCCCCTGATGCTGAAATGTGGAAAAAGGCGGTAGAAGTCGAGTATTTGGCTCAAATAAAAAACAACACTTGGGAGATCAGCGAACGCCCATGTCAACGGAGGGTCGTTGGGAGCCGTTTAGTGTTCCGTACCAAAGACGACGGTAGGAAGAAAGTGCGTTTAGTGGCCAAGGGTTTTGCACAACGTGAAGGGGAGGACTTTCACGAGACGTATGCGCCGGTAGCGCGTTCCACATCGATACGGCTATTGGCTGCTTTATCAGCTAACATGGACCTCGAAATACATCAAATGGATGTAGTTACCGCCTATCTAAATGGAAATCTCGACGAGAGCGTCTACATGGAGGTGCCAGAAAGGTTAAGCATGATACTCAAAAAAATAAATTCGGGTGAGCCATTTGGTAGTCAGGGTACCACGAATCACAGCAAACACGTTGAGGAGACAGCATATCGATGGCTGAAGAAGCTACAGCAAAGCAGCAACCCTGTATGTAAGTTGAAAATGGCATTGTATGGGCTACGCCAATCTGGGTTAATGTGGTACAATCGACTTACGAAGAAGTTAAATGATCTTGGGTTAAACGCATCCAAACATGACCCATGCCTATTTATTAAGCGAAAGGGTAAGCAAATTTTGCTACTAACTGTTTACGTAGACGATATCTTGTTGGCGTCGAATGACAGCGCGTGGATAAAATCTATCAAACGAGCACTATCTGAGTCATTCAAGATGAAGGACCTCGGTCATGCTAAGCGTTGCGTGGGTGTTGACTTCCAACAAAACTTAAAGTCTCACCAAGTATTTCTAACGCAACAACATTACATCGAAGCGATACTGGATCGCTTCAACATGGATCAGTGTAAGCCTGATCCGACTCCAATGGAAAGTAACTGCAAGCTCGTGTAACCTGACAAAGCAGATGATAATATCATGGCAACGTACCCATACCAGAGTCTGATCGGTGCGCTTATGTTCCTCGCGCTGACAACTCGCCCAGATATAGCGTTCGCCGTAAACTAAATGAGTCAGTTCAACACCAATTATAACGAAGACCATTGGAAGGCTGCAAAACGCATCTTACGTTACTTGAACGGCACCAAGGATCATGGCCTCATCTACGTCAAAAACGGCAAGCAGTTGTACGGTTTGGTCGACGCCGATTGGGGCGCAAATCTTACCGACAGGCGTTCATACAGCGGATACGCGTTCTTATTAGCCGGCGCCGTCATAAGCTGGGAAGCGCGAAAGCAGCGCACAGTTGCGCTATCCAGCACAGAAGCCGAATACATGGCTATCTCCGAGAGCACAAAAGAAGCCATGTACCTTCGAGGAATCCTGAGCGATCTAGGCATTTCATGGGAATGCGTGCCACTATATAATGACAGCCAAAGCGCACAAAAACTTATACAGTGCACTGGTTATCGTTCCCGTACGAAACATATAGACGTGCGACATCACTTTGTGCGAGAATGCCATCGGCGCGGTGCGATATCATTGTGTTATATGCCAACCGAGAATATGCCGGCGGATTTTCTCACGAAAGGTGTACAACAAATAAAACATTGCAGATGCAGAGTAGCATTGGGCGTCGCAAAACAACGCCAGGGTGGCGGCTAGTCTCACTACTTGGAGGGGAGGTGTTGGAGTATCATAGTAGTTTAACTAGAATTAATGTAAAAATGTGTAACTTCAGATACAACTCTGTTATTATCTTGTATTCAATAACTCTTGCCTTTCCTCTCTTGTATGAAAAGCTAATGTCATTTCTCAGTTCTTGATTTCGTCCATCGCAAAGTACACACGTTGATTAATTACATATATAAACTAATATAAACTCTGTTCATAATTCACATTAAATAAAGAAACTCTTTCTAATTGAACTCCTAAGAGCTCGGTTGCTTTATCAAGAATATTGCAGTTTTTGAGAGAAAAATTCGTAACTCGCGACCTATTTGATGAAATTTGATGAAATTTTTTTTGAGAGTTGCTGAAGCTTTTCCCTTCACAATAGAAAGATTTGCAGAATAAAATTTGCAAAACAATTAATTCTTTAAAAACAATAATTTAAACAATTGCAATTATTTATATATTCTAGGCCCGCGATTACAGTGAAATTTTGGCACAATATACTCTAAACTCTTGTTTTTAAGTTTCAAAAAGAAAAAATTGGTCTTTCCAATTTTGACAGTCGCTATCGATTTTTTTGTCACCTTTAAGCGTTGAGTAAATAGCTATTTTCATTTACGCTTGTGTGAGTGATAACATTTTTATGTTAATTAATTAATAATTATACAAGTACGTACATTATTTAACGTATAAATGCTATCACTCACACAAGCTTAAAGTCCTTTTAGAAAGAGAATCGATGGTCAAATAATTAAAAAGCTATAAGCCTGACCTTAGATAAGATCTACGTAGTTATCTGAGACCCTCATCATCCGTAATTCCAATAATGCAAATACTTATAAAAAACGGGGTGTTTTTTTTAAATACCAATATTCTGATCCGAATCGGCGATGATTGTTCAAAATTTTCATTCCTGGAAAACAATAGTTTATTTTGCATATCCACATATTTAGCTCGCTATAAGCACACATTTTTCAAACCAGTCGCAGAAGAAAGTATTAAAAATGAATTACAAAAACTAAATTGAAAATCGCTGATGAAGTTACAGATTCCCCAAATTCTGAAACAGCCAAAGAAATTATGATGAAGAGTTCTTTTTAAAAAAGCTTTAGAAAAACCTGACACATCTGGTTGGGCTTGTAAGCGCTGTTGTTTATACATTCTCAGTGAAATAGCATTATTGCGGCTTATATAATTTTTTTTTATATTTCAGATAACTGGCAACGCCATTTTTCCCATTTTTTCTCTACAAACCTTCTGCAGACAGAAAGAAACAAAATGAAATAAAAACGAAACAAATCTGTTGAGCCGTTCTTGAGTTATGCGATAACACACGAACCGCAATTATTTTTTATATATATGTAAAGAAAATATAGAATAGTCAGAAAACTAACATGGTCTGATTTCTGAAGGTTGGTGTGGGGTTGATGGGGTTTTAGTAACATCTATAAAGCCAAGGAAGGGTGGGTTCAGAGAAGCCGCACAAACATACATACGCGCTACATGGTTAAGGTATTTCAATCATGGAATACACCTTTCCATTGTGTGCCTTTTTTAATGTGTACAAATTTATTGTATCACGTTAGGACCAAACAACCTTTGTAGCAGGGATGGGCGTTATCAGGAAAATTAATAATTGAATAAAAAAAATAAGAATAAGTTTTCATTCATCATTCCAACAATTTCAAATAACGAATAAATTTTTATTCATAATTCAAGCACTTTCAAATGACGAATAAATTTTTATTCTTCATTCAAGCACTTGAGACTGATGAATAAATTTTTATTCATCACTCAAATAATGAATAAATTTTTATTCATCATTCAAGTAATTGCAAATAACGAATAAATTTGTATTCATCACTCAAGTAATTTAGAATGACGAATAAATTGTTATTCTTCATTCAAGTATTTAATTTCAAATAACGAATAAATTTTTATTCATCATTCAGGTAATTTCAAATAACGAATAAATTTTTATTCATCATTCAAGTAATTTCGAATGAAGAATAAATTTTCATTCATGATTCAAGTAATACTATAAATTACAATATCTGCTGCATCGTACGATAACTGTGGAAGAACCGCATAAGAGAAATGGCCCTGTACAATGCACCAACTGCCAGGAGTATGGTCATACTAGGTCTTACTGCACGCTTCGCTCAGTGTGCGTAGCTTGTGGAGAGCTACATGTCTCTGCCCCTTGCACATCAAACAAAGAAGACCCGCGTGCAAAAAAATGTGGTAACTGCGGTGGAAATCACACAGCAAACTACAGAGGCTGTCCAGTCTATAAGGAGTTAAAAAACCGGATCAACCAACGCGTGGCCTCCATACGTACTCATAATGTACCGAATGCCTTTGTACCCTCCCAAACGAATCCTGACGTCTTCTTCGCCAAAAGAGCCACGTCGCCAACAGTTCTATCAAACACCGTCAATGGGGTCTCGTTTGCAAGTGCCTTAAAATCAGGCTTAGAAAACCGTGCCCCTACAAAAACTGCACCTCAAGTTGCGCCGCAAGAACAGCATCCCCATGCACAATATGGTAAACAACCCAATATCGAAGCTATCATAGCGTCGATGCAACAAAGCATGATGAATTTCATGACTTTCATGCAAAACACAATGCAAGAACTCATGCGAAATCAAAATACGCTGCTCAACCTGCTTGCTACTCAGCAAACAAGATAATGACCTTACTTAAAATAGCCCTCTGGAATGCAAATGGCATTCCTCGCCACAAACTAGAGCTGCCAAAATTTCTTAAGGAAAAGGAAATTGACATAATGCTCCTTGCTGAAACACACCTAACTAATAGATATAATTTTGACATTTCGGGATATACCTTTTATTGCACGAATCATCCAGATGGAAAGGCGCATGGCGGAACTGGTATTTTAGTCAGACACCGGATCAAACACCATCATTTGACTGGAATTGCCGAGAATTATCTGCAAGCAACATCAATATGCGTACAAACAAAGCAAGGTGATATTACGCTGTCCGCAGTTTATTGTCCCCCACGTTTCACGATAACAGAAAAACAGTTTATGGATTTCTTCAGTTCGCTGGGAGAGCGCTTCCTTGCTGCAGGTGATTATAATGCGAAGCACCCTCACTGGGGCTCACGCTTGTCCAACCCTAAAGGCAAGCAATTATATAACGCGCTTATATGTAGAAGAAACAAACTCGATTACGCTTCTCCTGGAAAGCCTACATATTGGCCGGCAGACCCGCAAAAGTTGCCAGATTTGATTGACTTTGCGGTGACAAGGAAAATTCCTCGCGGCCTTATTAGTACAGAATCAGTTGCAGATCTCTCATCAGACCACTCACCTGTATTTTCACCTTGTGGCATCAGCCGCAAGAAAAAGAGTCACCCTATATGCTCACGGCAAGGGCTACAAATTGGTTAAAGTATTATTTTTTATACGCAGTGCGCATATAGACCTCGATCCAAATTTAGATACGCCGACCGATATTGAAAGCTCCATAGCCGCTCTTGAATCTACACTTAGAGCAGCCGGTATTCTCAGGGTTGTCGGGCCCTTATCGGGATCTACGGTACTACTTCGGGTTTTTCGAGGCTACTTGGAGATTTTCGGGATTCTCGGCTATAAATCAAGATCTTCGGGACAACTTCAGTATTTTTGGGACTTCTTCCGAGATTTTCGTAGTTCTCGGGGCTATTTCGGGATCTTACGGATTTCTCGAAAAACCCGAAATAGTACCAAAAAATCCGAATTGGTCCCAAAAATCCCCAAGTGGTTCCGTAGATCCCGATATAGGCCCGATAGCCCCGAGAAGTTGTCGCGAAAAATCCGAAATAGTCCAAAAAATCCCGAAGAATTCTCGGAAATCCCGAAATAGTCCCAAAATCCCGAGAACCACCGAGAGAAAATCTCGAGGAAGTCTCGCAAAACCCGAAATAGTCACAAAATACGGAATTAGTCCCAAAAACCCCGATATATTCCCGCGAACCCCGAGAATATCGAAATAGTCCCAAAACACCCGAAATAGTCCCAAAAATCCCGAAGTAGTTTCGTTGCCTAAAAGCATATCATTTAGCTGAAAAATCACAAATCAAAATGCATTTAAAATATAAGTAATTAATTTGAATATTTTCAAACAGGTGGCAATCCTCTTCAAACGCCTCCAAAATATTCTAAAGATTTCTTAACGCTCTTTAGTTTAGCACCCATATATTGTTATTTCATACACCTTGTGTATAGTTGAATTAAATTCCACTTCAATTACGTGGTAACACTCTTGAAAATATTTTTAAATTGAAACGTTCTTAAACCTCTATCGTCTGACACCCATATATAATTTCATTACCCAAAGTGCTTTAATTCATCTTAAACCTGATATTTTTAACAGGTGGCAGCCCTCCTGCATGTAGATTAGAAATAAACCTTTTTGAAAATTATTTCGACTGATATCCATCTTTTATTAATTTAATTTAATTTGAATTTAACATTTAAAACAGGTAGCAACCCTTTTTAAAAACCACATAAATAGTCTGGATGCTCAAAGCTCTCAACTCACTTTTGCTTAACACCCATGTTTTAATATTTCACATATTTAAGTAACATCTGCATAATTTAATTACTTTCAATTTTTAAATAAGGTGACAACCCTTCTTAAAATATTTCCAAACTAAAACCTCTCCCGCCCGACGCCATTTCCATAATTGAAATTGAATTTGATTTTTTTAAACAGGTGGCAACCCCCTTGTATGTAATAAAAAAATAAAACCTTTTCAAAACTATTTAGATTGATACCCATATTGTACTAATTAATTTATATTTTTAAATTTTTGGAATTCAATTTTTTACTAGGTGGCAACTCTTTTCGAAAAAGTAAAACCAGCACTTCTATAGCCCGAGCTCTTTCATTTGACACATCATTTTTTAAAATCGAATGAACGGTGCAGATCTGGTAATCTTGCCAAAAAATCCCTTCACGTATTATATATGTACATATATA